TTACTCAGTATACTCTGCTAGGACACAAGACAGGGTAACCTGAGGTCAGAAGATCCTAGAGAAGACACATTATACACACATAGACACCACTACCTTCCAGGGCACCATCTGGGTTCAATTGTGCAGGTATTCATTGGGCCTCTGCTGTGCTTCAACTCAGCCAGACTTTTCTGATCTGGGCAGGAAACTAGAAGTTCCATCTCCACCCCTCATCTGCAGCCCCAGCTGGGCTCACCCCAAGGGGCCTGAGGCTGCGCAAATTCCTTGGACCAGTTCCAGTGCTCACTGATGCTTCCCAGTGGTGGGAGGCCCGCCCTCTCCAACACACCGCCACACAGACACATGAACACACATTTCCCTAGGGTCAGCCTCTGTTCGTTCAAAACTACTCTTCCCTTTCTCCACAGTAGAACAAGGTCCTTCATTGAGCCCAGCCCTTGGGGCTGTTCTGTCACGTCCCCTGGCAGTACCAGAGGAGAATCTGTGTCCCTTAGCCTTGGGGTCCTGGCAGTACCCTGGGATGGGGGAGGGACTAGACAAGGCTTCTCTCTGTCCCAGATGCTTCTGGCTACCCTGAAGGCCTAAACAGCAGTGATTGAGAACACCAGGATACGGCTGAAAGGGTAGGCTGACTCTGCTGGAGAAGGGAGAAAAACACCGATCTTTGAGTCACATATTGAGTGCTTACTATGGGCAGACTCTGTCAGGTGCATTCCATGCATTGTCTCCCTAAATCCTCTCAGCAGCCCTATAATCCCTCTTTTACAGAGAAAGCATATTGCCAATGCAGCTGTGTAACACAGCTTGGATGCAAGTCCTTGACTTTCTGTCCTAATCTTAATCACTCTATTTTTTTCTTCCTCTCATCAAGAACTAAAAGCTCAGGGATTACATCAGAGAAGTATGGGATACCAGGGAGTTCCTCCCATGTGATATAGTGCCAGATGGAGATGGGAGAGTGGGAAAGGTGAAGGCTCCCTTGAAGTCAGGAAAGTCTGTCTCACCTTGGCAAGATCTTTAGATATGGAGATGCCCTAAGAGACAGCTTTGTGATCATGGGAGCTGGTTCAAGAGAAAAGACAGATGGAGAGGATGAGGTTTCCTAGACTTGAGTAGCAGTTCCTGAAGGGAATCTGGAAAGCCAGGGACAGGGAAGAAGAGACCTGGCGTTAGAGAGATAGTAGAAGGTTATGGGTAATGGATACAAGTTCCAGTTCTGGAGGCAGACAGCCCTGGGTTAAGATCTTGGCTCTCTCACTTTGAGGAAGTGACTTCACCTTTCCAAATCCCTTTCCTCATCTACAAGATAGGGATGCTAAAGCAGGGTTGGGGTGAGAATGAAAAATAATTATGTTCTTAGCATAGTGTCTAATGCATAGTAAATGCCCAGTTATTACTATTATACAGTAGTCCCCTCCTTCTTATCTGTAGTTTTATGTTCCATGGTTTTAGTTACCCCATAGTCAAACATGATCCAAAAACATTCAATGGAAAATTCCAGAAATAATAAGTTTTAAATTGTGTGCCATTCTGAGTAGCGTGATGAAATCTCACACCAGCCCACTCCATCCCACCTGGAATGTGAATCAGCCTTTTGTCCAGCATGTCTGAGTTGTATACTCTAAGTGACTACCCCATTGGTCACTTAGTAGCCATCCTGGTTATCAGATATTTTGAGAGAGACCACATTCCCATAACTTTTATTGTGGTATTGTTATAATTCGTGTTATTAGTTATTGTTAATCTCTTACTGTGCCTAATTTACAAATTAAACTTTATCATAGGTATGTATGTAGGGGGGAAACAGTATATATAGGGTTTGGTACTGTCTGCGGTTTCAGGCATCAACTGGGGGTCTTGGAACATATTCCCCGTGGATAAGGTAAGGGACTACTGTATTACTATTCTGTTTTGGTCAGTACTGTGGGTATAGCATGAATTGATAACTCTAAATAGATAATCCCTGGGCACTTCAACAGGGGTTCCGTAGGAAGCTTGGAGCAGAGTCTCAGGTCAAGAAAACATGCAGTTATATATGGCCAGGAGTTGGAAGTTGTCTGTGAGTCATTTTCACAGAGCTACAAATTTAAGCGGAATTAGAAGTTTATGTGCCTGGCCAGTGTGGCTCAGTGGTTGAGCGTCGACCCATGCACCAAGAGGTTGTTGGTTCGATTCACAGTCAGGGCACATGCCCAGGTTGTGGGCTCAATCCCCAGTGGGGGGCATGCGGGAGGCAGATAATCGATGTTTTCTCACATCAGTGTTTCTGTCTCTCTTTCTCCCTTCCTCTCTCTCTAAAAAAAGATCAGTAAAGAAAAAAATTTTTTAAAAGAAGTTTATTTTATGTGAATTCCGAGGCATAGATCTCCAGGCAGGTCATTTAAAGGAGGAGGTGCAAAAGGGTTTTTATGCAAAGCTCCCAGTGGCAAGTTGTCAGCCTGTAGTGTGGGCAGAGGAGACCAGAAATTCTTGGAACCTTAAGCCATAAGGAAATTGTGTTGAGACACCATCAGATGCAGGGCTCACTTGAAATCCAGATGCCTAGAATTCTGGGGTTCTTTTTATATACATGCTCATTCCCAGCCTCTCTGTTTCCTGGGCTGGAAATTGACTGTGCCCACTGGGTATTTGTTTCTTTTTGAGAGAGAGAAACATCAATGTGAGAGAGACATGTCAATTGGTTGCCTTCTGCATGACCCCAACCAGGCCAGGGTACCAAACCACAACCAAGGTACATGCCCTTAACTGGCATCAAACCTGCAGCTCTTTGGTCCGCGGGCCGATTCTCTAACCACTGAGCCAAACCAGTCAGGGCCCACTGAGTATTTGAAAGAAAGGAACCCTGGTAAAATATAATAACTGATGCTAGATATAGCAGCTAATGTTTACTGAGAACTTACTGTGTGCTATGGTGTCACTTAATTCATAGCAGCCATTCCAGGTAGAAGTGATTCTGAGCTCCAGTTTACAGATAGAGAAAGTAGGACTCAGTGAAGTAATCACATTTGCCCAGAGGCACATGGTCATTAAGTGAGAGAGAAGGGACCTAAGCCATGTCTCTGCTTTTCTTTTTCATCACCCACCCCCTAGGATCCTAGCTCTGTCGGTTAGAGCCGGCTCCTTTGCCCCTTTCCAAGACCTTACCAATAGCCCAATAACTCATCTCTCAGAACAACTTTGTTAGATGTTTGCAAATTGTTGCCTTGGCTACAGGTATCAACTCAGTTGCCCAAAAGTGAGGGCAGAGTTGGACCCAGTCCTTGATTGTTATCTCGTTACTCAAGTATTGGTATTGTTTGTTACTTTTCTTTGCCCTGTCAGCATTACCTGTCATCCTCTACTCTATTGAGCTTGTCATGGAAGGGGTAATTGGGTTTTCAAGGAGCATAGTCAGAACTGTAACAGTTCCTTCCAAAGCCTCCTTTATATAGCCAGCCTGGGGTGTTATCCTTAGGGAGCTCCCTTCTGGGTCAAGTGGAAACCCAGCTTATCTCCACAGTACAGACTCAGTCCCTCAGACCATGGGATTGGGAGGCGACATCACCAGATCACTATGGCATGGAGTAGCCAGGGGAGGCTTTCCAAAGGAAGGAAGGTTTTGGCCATCATAAAAGACATAGAATTTGGATAAGAGGAAGGAGACTATTATTGGTTAAAGCCTTGAATCTTAGCTTGAGTGGAAGCTTAGATGAATGTGGCATGAGAGAGGCCCAGCGAAGCTGGGGGAAATTCTGAGCTGCATCTTTATCTGGAGGGATAGGAGGTGGGGAGTGCCCTGGAAATGGTGGTGATGTTGGGCTAGGAGTTCTTGAACTTGAGTCTGTTGGTGCTGTTTACCATTGTAACCTCCTGGTCAGGAACATGACATTCTGGTGTGCTTTAGGAAGATAAATTTATCTGAGTTTATGGGACAGGTTGGAGGGGGAGATGGTAGAGGCAGAGAGACCAGTTAGACAACAATGAGCATTTATTAAATATGTTCTGTATGTCAGACCACTTGCCATTCTTGATTAGCTCATTGAGTCTCAGTGCAACACTGTGAATTGGGTACTGTAATTATCTCCAAAATTTTTCAGATGAGGAAATCAGTGCTAGTGAGGTTCAAGGTGACATGCCCAAGGTCTAGCTTATATGTTGGGGGATTTATACTATGTTATTCTAGACCCTAACCTTTTAATCACTATCCTTTTCAATCAGGAAGGAGGCTGTTTTGTTAGGGAAAGTGGGTAGGGGCCCTGAGGATAAAGAGTAAGAAGAGTGGCCCAGCCAGTGTGGCTCAGTAGATTGAGTGTCATCCCATGAACTGAGAGGTCAGGGTTCAATTGCCGGTCAGGACACATGCCCCAGTTGCGGGATCGAGTCCCAGTAGGAGCATTCGGGAGGCAGCCAATCGATATTTCTCTCTTTCTCCCTTTCTCTCCTCTCTCTCTCTCTCTCTCTCTCTAAAAAATCAATAAAAACTTTTTTTTTTTTTTTAATGTAAGAAGAGTAGGCCCTGGCCCTGGCCAGTGTGGCTCAGTTGGTTGAGCGTTGTCTCGTGCACTAAAAGGTTGCCAGTTCAATTCCTGGTCAAGGCACACGCCCAGGTTGCAGGTTTGATTCCCCAGAGTATATGCAAGAGGCAACCGATCAATGTTTCCCTTTCACATCGATATTTCTCTTTCTCTCCCTCTCCCTTCCTCTCTCTAAAATCAATAAAAACATTAAAAAGAAGAGTAGGCCCTGAAGGTAGCAGAAGGAGCTCTGGTCAGATTCCAGAATAGCAAGTTTGGCTGATTGGGAGCCACAGCAGGTTTTTGAGAGGAGGAGTGATGAAACCAGGAAAAATTACTAGGGAAGCAGGATGCATGTGTTTCATCTCACCTATATAAGGATCAAGAGTTGGGGGTCTTGAAAGAAAGAAGAGATTGGAGCTGAGGGAGCAGGCTATAGGCACCTCTCCTAGATTTATAGGAGTTCGCCACATTGGCTCCTCTGACATTCTTTCGTCTCCTTTGCAGCCATCGTCAGCCAGTGGCAGCAGGAGTCCAAAGAGAAGGTGGTGTCCCTCCTGCTGTCCCACCTGCCCCTGCTTCAGCCACGCAACACAGAGGCCAAGTCGGAGTACATGAGGCTGCTGCAAAAAGTGTTGGCCTACTCAATCGAGAGCAATGCCTTCATCGAGGAGAGCCGCCAGCTGCTCTCTTATGCCCTCATCCACCCAGCCACCACACTGGAGGACCGCAACTCACTAGCCCTCTGGCTGAGCCACCTGGAAGAGCGGCTGGCTAGCGGCTTCCGCACCCGGCCTGAGCCCACTTACCACTCACGCCAGGGCTCAGATGAGTGGGGGGGACCTGCAGAGCTGGGCCCTGGGGAGGCAGGGCCAGGCTGGCAGGACAAGCCACCCAGGGAAAATGGACATGTTCCCTTCCACCCACCCAGCTCCGTGCCGCCAGTTATCAACAGTATCGGGAGCAACGCAAATGCAGGTGATGGGGTAGTCCCAGGAGGCCATGCCTACTTGAAAAGGGACAGTTTGGGCTCTCTCTTTACCTGCTCTGTGGTCCTGGGCAAGTCACATAAACCTCTCTGGGCCTCACCTTATGAGGCAGTGCAGAGGTTGTGAACTGACATTCCCAGAGCCATATCTGACCTACATATATGTTTGTTTGTTTGTTTGTTTGTTTCATTAATCCTCACTCAAGGATACCTTTTCATTCATTTCCAGATAGAGTGGAAGGGAGGGAGGGAGAAAAAAGGAGAATAAAGAACATCAACATGAGAGAGACACATAGACTGGTTGCATTCCACAAGGCCCCGACCAGGGCCAGTGAGGGACCAAACCTGCAACCCAGGTACATGCCCTTGACTGAGAACCAAACCCCAGACCCTTTCGTCTGCAGGCCGATGCTCCAACCACTGAGCCAAACCGACTAGGGCCTACAGATCTGTTTTATTGAGCCCAGACTCAACACGACTTTGGTTTTATTTGTTGTGTTCTTAAATAAATTTGGTAATATAAGGCATCAGAAATTTTTCCCTAAAAATCCACATTTTCGCTTCTTTTAAAAATTCAGATTTAGCAGCTCAAGACTTATATTTCTGGTAGCAATAGTAAGAAAGAATTTAATATTGGCCATTCCTTTTATACCCTACACATGGCCCCAGCCTCTGCCTCCACCTCATTCACTTTGGCCATATTTGATACCTGCCTGGCCGCTGAAGGTATTACATTAATGACCATGATCTGAGGTCCCTTCCAGCTCAGATAGTCTAGCTAGGATTTTTGTATCTGGCCTCAGTTTAAAGCATTGTTTCTGAGAAATCTGTTTCCAAGCCTGTTCACATAAGCTATAACTCACACTGCTATACATTAGTAATAGTAACATTGTTGAGCATTGACTGTGCTTAGTACTCTTTTATAAATACTTTTCACACATAAACTCATTTAATCCTCATCACAACCATATTATTAGTCCCATTCTACAGATGAGGAACTGAGACTTGGGAGGTAAAGTCTAGTTTTCAAGGTCATACATAGAACAAGTGGTGGAATTGACCAAGGTTCAAACCCAGTCTACCACCAGAGCTTGCCTCTGACCATTGCACTGACCTCCAACTAAGTGGTTTCGAAAGGGCTCTCTTATGCACCCTGAAGGCTGGGATCAGCAGGAGGAGTTGGTATTCCATTGAGTTTGTTTTGTTTTGTTTTGTTTTGTTTTGTTTTGTTTTGTTTTGTTTTGTTTTGTTTTGTTTTGTTTTTGGTGGCACGTGCCCCTAGCGGGAACCAAACTCAGGACTCTCTGGTCCGCAGGCCGACACTCAACCACTGAGCCAAACTGGCCAGGGCTCCATTGAGTTGTTGAAATGTTAGTTGAAATGAACAGGATAAGAGAGAGTGGTATTTGCAAGGACTGGTAAAGTAACATGACCTGACAAGGCAAGAGGTTTATCCTCATTGTGGTAGGACTGGTTAAAGCAGACCAGGAAAAAGTGGCAGTGAAATGTCATCTGTGCCAGTGAGTATATGAACCCTGGGTCTCTGGTGCCCAGCTGTATGGCACCTAGCATACATCAGTTGCCCCCTGAACCTCTTCTCCAGTTAAATATGTATGTCCTGGTAGCCTGCCTCCCTCCCAGGTGCTGAGAGAATCAGGGAAATAGAGGGATAGGGGGCATTTCTGGGAACTCTAGAAATTTAAGGTGTTTTCCAGTCTCAGAGCATGACAATTTCTGTGTCCAGGTTGGGAGGATATATTAATAATGATAATTCTAGTTAAAATATATTAAGTGTTTAGTCTTTGCCAAGAGCTGATCTGAGTGAGAACTTTATACCTATCCATTCATTGGCTGTCACAGAAGTCACTTGTCCAAATGGTATAGCCAGAATTTAAATCCAAGCAAGCTGGCTCCACAGCTCATACTCTTAATTACTGTGCTACATTGTCTCCACCTAAAAGTGGCCCTCCTGAAGATACCCAGACCACATCAAGAGGAGGGTACCCATACATTTCTTCTTTCCCACAGTGGGGACAGCAGCTACTGCAGGACCAAGGTAGAACAATGTTGGATGGGGATTTGAACCAGAAGAGAGAAAGGAACTGAGCATTCTAAATAGAGGGCATAGCATGAATTGAAGGCATGGGGGTAGCAGATTGGAGGAGACAGTATGCAGACAGGTCTGGAAGGGCTCGAGAGGAACAAGGATTTAAATGAGTAATAGCAAACATTTATGTTTACCATGTGCCTGCGCCTGTGCCAAGGACTTCACATAGAAATGGAGGCGGGGGCAAATTAAATGACTTGCCCAGGATCATGCAGTTAGTAGGTAGCAGAGCCAGGATTTAAAATCAAGTCTGTCTTGACTCCTAGATCTCAGTAGGTTGGGCCACATTGTGGGGGACCTTGAAGAATAGGATGAAGCTTTTCAATTTCAAGCAGTTACAGGAAACCATTAAAATATTTTTTAGTTTAGGGAGCAAGGATTGGCCTGAAAGGGCAGGCAGGATAGGTTTGGGGTGCTGCCAAGGACAGACCAGGGTTTCTTGGAGAGTGAGGCCCTGGATCTCCAGCCGGCATTCCTGTTTTTATAGTTCTAATGCTGTGGTCAGCCTCCACCCCAGTGTAGGGCCAAGCAGAGCTCCTCAGCAACTGTGCAGTCATTCCAATCTTGCCCTCTCAACCTTGCCTGCCTCCTCCTTATCTGAGAAAGGAGGAAGGAGGAGGCCAGAGGCACCAAGACAGACATAAAAGGGGCTGTATTGAGGGTTTCCCAGCCCCAGGGCCCAAAGTGTGCCTTCTTCTGGGAGTTCAGAGGCTTGGAAAGAACATTAAGCAGAGGATCCTAGAGGTCATGGGAAGGGGTAGATGCTGGAGCTTAGGGAGTGGGTCAGTACACTGCCCTCTGCTTCAGGTGACTTCCTGGTTAGGAGCCATAGATATTGTCACAGATGAGGGAAGGTGCTTTGGGGTCTGTACCAGGGTGGTCCTCCTTCCTGGGCTGGTGTAAGTGGAGCACTGGCAGGAATCCTAGCTTGTCCATCAGAAAAAAGGCTGGGGTTTCTCTGGCCGGTTTGGCTCAGCAGTTATAGAGTGTCAGCCCACAGACCAAAGGGTTGCCAGTTTGATTTCCAGTCAAGGGCATGTACCTTGGTTGCAAGTTCAATCCCAAGCCCTAGTTGAGATCGTGCAAGAGGTAACCAATCGATGTCTGTCTCACGTTGATGTTTCTCTCCCTCCCTCCCTCCTTCCCACTCTGTCTAAAAATAAATGGAAAAATATCCTCAAGTGAGATTAAAAAATAAATAAATAAAAGAAATAAGGCTGGGGGCCCTGGCCAGTGTAGATTAATGCTTAGAGCATTGGCCCATGCACTGAAGGGTCGTGGGTTCAAAATCCTGTCAAGGGCGCATACCTGGGTTGCAGGTTTGGTCCCCAGCCTCAGGGCACATGCAGGAGGCAACCAATCAATGTGTCTCTCTGACATCCATGTTTCTCTCTCTCTCTCTTTTTTCTTCCCCTCCCCCTCCTTCCCCTCTCCTCTCTCCCTTCCACTCGCTGAAAATCGGTGGAAAAAATATCTTTGGTGGCCCAGCTGGTGGGGCTCAGTGGTTGAGCACCAAGACGTCGCTGGTTCAATTTCTGGTCAGGGTACATGCCCAGGTTGTGGGCCCAATCCCCAGTTGGGGTCATGCAGGAGTCAGCCAGTTGATGTTCTCTCTAATCGATGTTTTTCTCTCTCTCTCCCTCTCCCTTTCTCTTTCTTTCTAAAATCAATAAAGATGAAAAAATTATACACACAGACACACATATACATACACACACATTTCCTCAGGTGAGAATTAACAAAAAAAGAAATAAGACTAGGGTTCTTCTGCCTCTGCTTCCCACTCTCTGTGAGAACTGGGGCAAAAAGTTTCAATGTCCTGGGCTCTTGATATTCTCACCTACCTAGGGTAAGACATTTGGCTTTGTTTTCTTTCCTTTTTCTTAGATATGGGGTATTCCAGATTCCCCCTTCTGTCGAGCTCAGAGGCCCTGTTAGTACCCTTAGGATCATGGGTGCCCTCCTTTTGGCCTTTGGGAAACTGAGGGCTCTTGTATATTGTTCCCTTACTCCTGATCCTGGGGATACAAAAATGATTAGGCAGGGTTGCTATCCTCCAGGAGCCCAGAGTCCAGTGCAAAAGAGGCAGACTAGTGAAGAGGGCAGTAAGTGCTGGGCTTGAGGCAGCAGCAGCTCAGGGGTCCAGGGAATGCAGAGGAAGGAGTCCCAGACGACAAAATGCAGAGGAAGGAGTGAAGGATGAAGTGGCTGGCAAATGAGAGTGAAAGAGTTGTGAGCTAGGCAGAGGGAATAGCATGTATAAAGGTCTGGAAGCTGTGAAAATCTGCCCTGAGAATGGTGAAAAGTCAAGTTGGCTTCCTCTTCCCACCTCAGGAATGGGATCGATGGATAGAGGGTGTGCAGCATCCTATGGAAGAGGGCCTGGATTCACTCTGATTTGGGCTTAGTTAAGGGAAAATCTGTGGAAGGTGGTGAAGCCCAAGGACAGGATGTTGAGCACGCAGTTTATATACTTCATTCATTTACTTTACAAGTACTTCTGAAGAAACTCCACTGCTCTAGGCCACACTGTAATTGCTGAGGATACAGTGATATCTAGGACAGGATAGGTCCTACTGTCACAGATCTATTGCATCGAGGGCAAATAGTTAATAAGCAAGTAAACAAATAACTAGATTAGATCATTTCAGGTTGTGATAGGTATTGTAAGAAAGATAAGACGGAAGTATATTATAGAATAACCAGAATTGATAGGGACAGCTACTTCACATTGGCAAGGGGGCAGGGGCGGCACAAAGGCTAGAAAGGCTTGATGCAAAGGTTGAGTGGGAAATGAGAGGTCAGAGATGAGCAGGACCTTGTAATAGTGTGTGTGGAAGAGTTTGAATCTTATTCTCAGCATGAAGGGAAGCCACAGGTGGGATTTAAGCAGGGACTGACTTTGTCAAATTTGCATTTTTAGAAGGATCATTGTGGCTGCTGTGAGATAAATAGAGTAGGAGGCAAGAAACCAATGAGGCGGCTGTGGCAGTAATTCCAGTTAGGGATGCCACTGACTTAGACCAGGGCACCAGCAGACTAAGTGGAGAGGTTCAGAGAAGTAGCTCACAGCTTGCTGATGGGTTGGGTATGAAGGGTGAGGGAATGAGCAATATGTGGTAGGTGGTTCTTTTCAGATGCCAGGGTTTCTTCTCCTTGTTGAATTCTGGGGCAGAGCTGCCATCCATGGCACTGACTGGGGTGGCATGGTCTCCTGTGGTCAAATCCCCAAACCTGACCTTTTGCTTCTGTTCCTCTCTGACCAGGTCTCCCCTGCCAAATTCACCCCAGCCCGCTGAAGCGCTCCATGTCGCTCATTCCCACAAGCCCCCAGGCTCCTGGTGAGTGGCCAAGTTCGGAGGAGCTCGGGGCCCGGGCTGCTTTCACCACGCCCGACCACGCACCCCTCTCACCCCAGAGCAGCGTGGCCTCCTCTGGCAGTGAGCAGACGGAGGAGCAGGGCTCCAACCGGAACACTTTCCAGGAGGATGGCAGTGGCATGAAAGGTACAACACAGGAGGGCAATCCTAGGACCCTCCTCCAGAGGCCACCCTGCCTACCCCATCCCCCCAACCCCCAACTTCCCCTCCCTTCCAGAGAAGGGGAGAAGTCTGAGGGGAATAGAAGTCCCTGCCCTTCGGGTTCACTGATCTGAAAGACCCCCACAGACCCTGGTCTGATGGGGAAGAAGCCCCTGCCCTCAGACACCCCAGTCTGATAAAAGCCAAGACACAGAGGTAACTGATGGAATAGACTCCTGACCTTAAGCCCTCCCTCCTTTTCCCCAGATGTGCCCTCATGGCTCAAGAGCCTCCGCTTGCACAAGTACGCAGCTCTCTTCTCACAGATGAGCTACGAGGAGATGATGACACTGACTGAGCAGCATCTGGAGTCTCAGGTAAAGCTCAGGGGACCATCAGGGTAGAGTTGGGGTACCATTTCAACACTACCCTTGTGGCCTGAGCCGCCTCCATCTTTTTGAACCTTGTTGGGGTACCCTAGGTACTTCAGCCTCCCATTTCCAGCTTTCTGTCCCCTTCTGCCCTACCACAGAATGTCACCAAAGGTGCCCGCCACAAGATAGCCCTGAGCATCCAGAAGCTGCGTGAGAGGCAGAGTGTCCTCAAGTCCCTGGAGAAGGTGAGCACCTGGTATTCTGCATTTCCAAGGTCAGCTGGCTGCCCAGCAGACTGAAGATTCTGGGTCATCCTTGCTACCTATGTATGTGGCCTCCCCTCAGGACCTCCCCAGCCCTCAGATCTGACCTTCAGTGGCCCCAACTTTAGGAAGCCAGACTCTGGGGACCAAGTACAAATTGGATCACAGGGCTCACTTGCCTGTGGCTAAGAGGCTCCCCTCCCTGTCTGTCCTGGTATGTGTCCCCAGACTCACTCTGTCTGTTGACCCAATCTCTTCTCTCTTTCCCTCCCATTTCTGACCAGTCTTTCTGGTAGAGCGGAGCACCTCTCTGGGTGCAGGATACTCTCTATTTGGTTTGTTTCTCATCTACTCCTCTATCTGCTTCAATTTGTACTTCTTTTACCCTTTTCCTGCCACTTGCCTTCTGGTTTCCCCCTCTCCGTTTGTGGTCCAGATCTCTGTGTCCACATTTGGTTCTATCTTTGGTGGGACCCTAAGGCCCCAGGATTAGACCATCTTCTGAGCTCCATGGGACTCCCCTTGAAGGGGGAAGAGGGAATGTGTGGTACAAATGTGTGTGTGTGTGTGTGTGTGTGTGTGTGTGTGTAGGCTTATGGTTCCTTTACCTGCCTCTTCTATGTGCTAGAACGCAGAGTCCTGCCAAGCACTCTCGAGGCCCTTTTGACCCCATCTGTGTAGTCATTCTACATAGATGTGGGATTGGCATGTGACCCCACCCATGTCCTCCCACCCAGGATGTGCTGGAAGGAGGAAACCTACGAAACGCTCTGCAGGAGCTGCAACAGATTATCATCACCCCTATCAAGGCCTACAGTGTCCTCCAGGCCACTGTGGCCACCGCCGCCACCACCACCTCTACTGCCAAGGATGTGGGCCGGGGGGAGCCATTGCTGCCAGGTGCTGAGCCTCCTGTGGCTCATCCCAGCACAGACAAGGGCACTGAGGCCAAGGACCCTCCAGCTGCAGAGAGCTACCCGCCTCCACCAGCTCCAGTTCCCACTGATGGTAGTGAGCCAGCCCCGGCTCCTGTCGCTGATGGAGACATCCCCAGCCAGTTTACACGGGTGATGGGCAAAGGTGAGACCACCTAGGCAGGGCCCAGCAGGAAGTTCTGGGGAAGAGAGCCAAATGAACCTAGGCAGTAGGGGTCAAATTCAAGTTAAATAGTGGAAGCAGAACTTCTTAAAGCACCCTGGGAATTAGAACACCACAGAGAGTGACTTGAGACTGAGGTGGCAAGGCCCCTGCCCTCAGGTGTGTCCAGGCTGGTGGTGGGAGACATTGTTCAGCCCCAAAGAGACCCCAGCCCGAGAAAAAGACAGGGCAGTGTGTCAGTGGAAACTGCATACAGTACAGAGTGAACAGACGAGGAGAATACACTGGTTCTCACAGGTGACTGAAGTCCACAAGATGAGTATGGTAAAGCTCTTAAAGGGCTTTTCTGAGGCAGAATGATATAGCAGACTTTAAACTTGGGTCTAGATTCCTTTATCTGTGTGACCTGGGACAAGTGACTGAACCTCTCTGAGCCTCAGGTTCCTCATGCTAAAAATGCCTACTGATGAGATTCTTATAAGATTTAAAAAGAGCCTTGGCTGGTTTGGCTCAGCAGTTGGATCATCGGCCTGCAGACCAGAGAGTCCTGGGTTCAGTTCCCGGTAAGGGCACGTACCAAAAAAAAAGAGGGAGAAAAGACATCTTTGACTTCATGTCTGCCTTATGCCAGGCACTATGCTGAGTGCTTTATATGTCTTCATGATATGCCAGGTACCATGCGTGGCACGTAGCTAGTATTCATCCAGCCCAAGATTCCTGTCCCTCTTTCTGTGGCAGAGGGCATGCTGGGGGCTAACCTCCCACTCTCTCCTGTGTCCCCAGTGTGTACCCAGCTGCTGGTGTCCCGACCAGACGAGGAGAACATCACCAGTTACCTCCAGCTCATCGAAAAGTGCCTGACCCATGAGGTGAGACCTTCCCTAGAGTTCCCAAGAAGGGAAAGGTGACCCCATCACTCTCAGAACCAACATTCCTTCTGTGGCTAATAAGGCCCTGTCTGGCTGGTTCCTGCCAACCTCGCCATCCCTCATCTCACCACCTACTGGCCCCTCTGCTCCCAGTTCAAATGTTTATACCTCAGGGATGCCTTCACTGGTTCCTCATACTAGATCAGGTTTTCAGGTTTTCCCTCACAGCATTCATCACAGTTATATGTATCTTCTCTCCAACTAAGCTGTAAGCTCCATATGCACAGGTCACCTCCACGTCCCAGAATTCCCCAGCACAGAGCAGTCGATAAATATTTGAGCAAACGAACAGAAGGCAGATCTAAAAGAAGCACCCCCTCCCTGCTTTACTTCCTTAATTATCTAGGCTTTCACGGAGACGCAGAAAAAACGGCTGCTGTCCTGGAAACAGCAAGTGCTGAAGCTCCTCCGGACCTTCCCTCGCAAAGCTGCACTAGAGATGCAGAACTACCGGCAGCAGAAAAGGTAGGCCCTGCTGGTTGACAGCTAGTGCTTGGAGGGGTGATTGCATTCTGGGCTGGAAATCCAGTGGGACTCATTCAATCACTGGGTGACTTATACATATCACCCAGTAAAGTCTTTTCCAGAAGAAAGTCAGGATGTTCTTATTTCTAAAATAGGGTGCTGAGCTGGCAAAACCAGCTCATGTCCTGATAGCAGGCCCCTTGCTTGTCCCTTGTTCTCTTCACCTTGTGTGCAGAGGGCTCTGAAGTCCCTTCTCACCCCAAACAAATAACAGAAATATCACTCCTGCATATTGAAGTTAGGAGAACTGCTTTGCTTGGACATGAGGAACATTTCCTGTCTCTATCCTGGGGGAGCCCTTGGGTAGGAGGAGACAGAATGTGTATTTGGACAGGGAATCTTTGCTCAGAGCAGGTCTGTGTTCTGTCCTACCCATTGGGATTGTGGAAGGAGGTGAGGGGTGCAGAGATGGGTCCCATCCACCTAAACTGATACCCTGCCTTCTGCTCTCTCACAGCTGGGCGTTTGGCTCCAACTCACTCCCCATAGCTGGCTCTGTGGGGATGGGGGTGGCCCGGCGGACCCAGCGGCAGTTCCCAATGCCTCCCCGGGCCCTTCCACCTGGCAGAATGGGCCTTCTGAGCCCCTCGGGCATTGGGGGCATCTCCCCCAGACATGCCCTCACCAGCCCCAGCCTTGGGGGCCAGGGCCGACAGGTGAGCAGCTGGAAATAGAGGAACTGGTACTTCTGGGGTGTGGGGAGTGGTACCTTGGATGTGTGTGTCCATTTCTTTGCCTCTGGGCCTTAGAAGGGAGGGGGCTCCTTTGCCAGTTCCACCCCTCCTGGTCCTGGGACTCTTCCCCACTCACCCACTCTCTCTTCTCCATGCCCTTTGCAGAACCTATGGTTTGCCAACCCTGGAGGCAGTAACAGCATGCCCAGCCAGAGCCGCAGCTCTGTACAGCGCACCCACTCGCTCCCAGTCCACTCCTCGCCCCAGGCCATTCTCATGTTCCCTCCAGGTACAGTGCTCCCTAGCCCTTGGGACTCTGCCTCTGCAACACCCTTAGCTGGTCTTTATCTTCTCTTCTGTGTCTTGTATGCTCGAGCACTTCTCCCCATCCTTCCCACCTATCTTCTCATCATGGGTTTTCTTGTACTCTTCCCTACCCCCATTTCAATTTTCTCTCTCAGGTCTTGCCTTTCTCTCATTTTTAAATATGGAACGCTTCATGAATTTGCATGTCATCCTTGCTCAGGGGCCATGCCAATCTTCTCTGTATCATTCCAACTTGTGTACATGTGCTGCCAAAGTGAGCACTGCCTTTCTTTGTCTTCTCTCACCCCTTACTTCACTGCTGCATGTCCACTTCTCTCCCTCCCTATGTCATAATTTTGTTATTCATGTTAGTCTCGGTCACCATCTTTTTAGAGGATCATTAAATACTTAGTTTGGAAAGGGTTGAAGAGAGCCAAAGCAGTGAAGTTTCTATGGAAGTGAGTCCTGCCTACCAGTCCATTGGCATTCTTTCAGATGCCAGGTGACCAGGCCAGAACCATTTAGCTCTTGGATCATATTTTACACTAAAGGGTATTTGAGGTGAAAGGGCTATTTTTTCTGTACTCACAGACCAGACCACAGATAGAAAATCAGAATGAGGACGAAGTGAACAGAAGGGAGGATAGAGAAGCAAGCGTTAGTCTTACCTTGCTCAACGAGTAAGGATGACTGTACCCTGTGCCAAGCCCATTTCTGGGCACTGAGGCTGCAGAGGTAGATAAGGCTAGTCTGGAATGGCTGCCTCTGAGAGCACTGATGTCATTCCTATCTGATCAGTCACGAATCTGAGACTCAAAAGTGGTGACTTGCCCAGGGTCAAAAGGAAAGACAGGTGGTCTGACATGGCCTGAGCTCAGGGTTCAGAGGGGAGGTGATGAAAGGTGAAGCTGGAGTTGGGAGCAGGGCCTTCCAAACCCAGGTAAAGAGCTCAGACTTCCAGTGGCAGTGAGGAACCCAGGAAGGGTTTTAAGCAGTGTGGGGTGGGTTTAAGTCAGCCCAGGAGTTGGAGCTGTCTCCCAGACTCCAGAAGAGGAAGCCCTTTTGAGAGGTGGTTGGAGTACAAGCCCCATGGCTGCTGTCCTCGTTTGCCCTGTTTATTGGTCTGCCCAGATCGAATCTTGCCCAGAGGGGCAAGTTCAAGAGGGGACATGAAGAGTTCTGATTAAGCTTCTGCACCAAGTACAGAGCAGTTCATCAGTCAGGGAGCACAGGGTTGCCCAGCACCCACAACAGATGCCCAGACTGTGCCCAAGACAGCATGCAGAGTGTGTCCAAAATAGTCACAGCCCATGTGGCCTCCAGGAAGTTCCCTCAGCTTCACATCACTTCCTCTGTCTGCAGATCAGGCTTTTTCTCTGTATTGGCCAAGCCTCTGCCCATGCCACCTCTGCCTGCTTTATGACACACCAGACTTGTCTCTATCCTTTATCTCTGCCTAGTCCCACCTTCCATCCTAGTGTGTGCATGTCTCATGCTCTGTTTCTCTGTCTCCCTCTCCCTTCTTTTTCCTACTGTCTCTCCCAGCCTCTCCCAAATGCCAGCCCATCCTGTGCTTTGTCTTCTCAGCTTTACTCCCAACCTCAGTCTTGTTCTTACCACCTCCATTCTCCTCTGTCCCACACAGACTGTCCGGTCCCTGGACCTGACCTGGAGATCAATCCCACTCTGGAGTCTCTGTGTCTGAGCATGACAGAACACGCCTTGGGTGGTGAGCATTTCCTCTTTCCCTGACCCAGCTCCCACCTACCCAGCAGCGTCTCCACCTCTGAACTGAGCAACTCAGAGTCATCCTGAGGGGTCCCTAGGGGAGGCTGGACTTCAGGGAGGGCCTGACTGGGATGACAGGCTTCCTGAGCATCTTTTCTCAAGCCTCCCAGCAGCTCCTGATCTTGCTCCCTTCCTCCCTTCTCTTACACAGATGGGACTGACAAAACTTCCACCATCTGACGGGACCCACAGCCCAGCGCACCCATAGGCTCCCCGGGCGGCGGGCGGGGGCCAACCCCCAACGGGCTTCTCTGCAACAGCGAGAGGGTGGGCTGGCTCAGCTATACATTCTAATATTTTTCTACTCTCTCATCCTTTTAACTTTTGTTTAACATCGGCACACGCCTTGCTCACTCCCAGGCCCATTGAGGGATCTCTGCTAAGGCCCTGGGAGGTAGGGGGCAGCCAGAATAAAGGGGGCAGGAACTTGGCCAGCCTGCCTGCCCCCTCCTATCCTCCCTCATCTCCCACCTGGCCCCATCCCACTCCTGCCTCCTCCAGACTGCTCACTACCTGCTCCTCCTGAGGGAGCAGCCTCCCCCAAGACTTACCCACTATCTTGTGGGGCCTGCTCAGAACCATCTGACATTTGGGGAGAGACAAGCAGGATAGAAACCTGCTCTCCTAAATGTTATTTTGAGAGGCGCTAAGGAGAAGGCAGGTGAGGAGAGGAAACTTTCTCCTTGACACCTTCTTCTCCTTCCCCATTCCCATCATTCCCTGAGGACAGGAGCCACCCTCTTCTCACTCACCTCCTTTTGCCCTGTTTATCAGAGGTTCTCTACAATTAATTTCTTAGGTCTATTTAAGATACATATTTATATAGTTCTTAACGGTTTTTCTCTGATCATTCCCTCTCATTTTTAGAATCCCCAGGCCTCTCTCTGAGCCAAGAAAGTGGCAGGGGGAACCTGAATTTTATGAGGGGAGAGGGGCAGAGCCCCCTCCTCCAGACCCCCTAGCCCTTCCCCACTATCCCCCAGCCCTGGCTCCCCAGATGCAGAAGTTGAAAGTGGGGAGCCAGGACAGCCAGTGAGGTCAGGAAGTCTGTTGCCTTAACATCCCCTTCCCCCATCAACATACACTCTTCTCCACTCCCAGGTCTGGTTGCTGAAAGACTTGGGGGTAAGGAATAAGGGAAAGGGGATTGTTTGGTTTTTGGTTTCTTTCCCCACCCCCCTTTTCTTTCAACTTTTACCCCAATCCCCATTGTCATGACCTCATTAAGTGGAACACTATCATAACCCAGAGATTCGTCCAGCCCCAGAGTCATACAGACCCTCTGGTCCCTGTTCCTACTGCGGGGTTGTGCTGGGGCCCAGGTGGAGGGAGGGGATTTGGGGGTTCAGGTTGTGGGGAAGCCAGGGTCCCCTATCCCAACCCCCTCCCCCACACACACACTGGGACATTCTCAAGCTTTTCACATCGAAAAGGGAAAAAAATGTTATTTTTAGATACATTTTATGAATAACTTTTGTTATGAATATGGCTGGTAACCATTGTGTATGTTATTAAAGATACAAAATGTTGGGAAAAAACAAAAAACCAAAAAAAAAATTTCAAAGCCACCGCCCTCCCAGCACTCACCCCATTCCCCTGATCTTTTTGCCTCTGCCCTCCTGGTCTGGACCTCTCTCAGCTCTGAGCCCAGGGAGGAAGAGAAAACCAGGGGGTGGTGTAGCCCTGGGGGACCTGCTCCAGGTCCCCACCTCCTCTCCCAGTGCCGGGCTGGGTGGGGTGTCAGGTTTATTTATGTACCTCTTGCACACTCATCAACCTATGCAAGTCCCCCACCCCGGCCCCTCCATGTTTCTGTGCCTTTGCTCATTCCCCTCAAACTCCCAGGGCTTCTCCAGTTCCCCTCCCACTAGCCCGGGGAAGTGGGATGGACAGGGGCCACCTCGTTTGGAATCAGCAGGGTGTCCCTCTTACAGGACCCTCACCTCCTCCCAGCCAGACCCATGTTGTTCAATATCCATCAGGGTGAGCTGGCTCTGCCTGGCACTGGGAGGTGGTGAGGGACACACACACACACACACACACACACACACACAATGGGAGGCAAGAGCTGCCCCCCACACACACCTGACCAGAGTGTGCAGGACGCAGGCGGCCCCACTCTGATGGGCAGGACCCTGACCCTCTCCAGCTCCAGTCCCTCCGCCATGATTTCACCCTCCCTTCTATCCCCAGCCCCATTGGCAGAATCAGCTTTGAGTAACTGTACAGTTTTTCTCGCTGTTGGAGATTTATTTGTTGGAGTTTCACTTGTTTAATGGTCTGGGCTTATTTTGGAAAGAAAAAACAAAAAAACAAACAAAAAATGATTCTGACCTTTGTTATGCTACATTTAATTGAAAACCTAATGGTCCTGCCTTTGTGGCCTTTGCTTCTATGCTGTTAAGCTGGGGCCACTGAGCACCTGGGGTATGGGTGGAGGAAGGGATGGGGTGGGAGGGTGGAGATGTAGGCAGAATGAAACCATTAGGCCTGAGAAGGGAAAGAGAAAAGCTGGCTTTATTAACAGGAAAAGTTTGTAAAGAGGCCATGGAAAAGTACCTTCCTGCACATAAAAACATCTGCGCCGGCCCTGAAAGGACTCAGTCACTGTCACTGTCCGCATCACTGGAATCAGACGCTGCAGCTTCACTGCCATCTTCCTGGGCTGAGTGCTCACTGCCACTGGGGAAGGGGCTGGCGCTGCGGCTGGGGCTGGGGCTGGGGCTCCGCTGGCCACCCCCATCGCTGCCACTCTCTGAATCATTGTCACTGCCATGGGCCCGTCCTCTGTCCTCGTCATCAGAGTCAGCATCCTCTGAATCTGCATCACTGCCAAAGATCTCTTCTTTGTCCCGAGCAGCTCGGGCCTCATCCTCACTGCTCTCGTCCTCGCCGCTTCCACTCTTGTCACTCGCCTCATCCCTGTCACCCTCTTCCCGTTCACTTTCACTGCCTGAGCGCTCATCCTCGCTGCCCTCTTTCTCACTGCTGCTGCCCTTCTCTCGCTCCTCATCTGTGAAGGAACAGAAAGAAGTGAGACCCAGTTTCCCACCCTCCTAGGGGTTCCAGGGTTTGGCCTCTGCAGCTTTACCTGAGCCCCCTGCTTCTTTCTCTTCTGTCTCCATTTCCTCTTCCTCTTCCTCTTCGGGTTCGTGGTTCTCCAGCTGGGCCTTCCGTGCCTCCTGGGAAGCAGCAGAGTTGATGGGAAGAGAAGGTATTCTATCAGGCTTCTGTTTCCCTCTTCACCCACCACCACACTCCCTGTGGGTGCCCTGAATCAGTGGTGTTTATTACCTGAGCTTCTAATTCCTTCTCATTCATGTCCCGGTGTTTGACCACAAGCAATGCATTGGTACCCGACTGAACCCCAGCCTTGGCCCTGCGCTTGCTCAGGCGAACCCTGCAGTGGGCGAGTTGGGGGAGGGGTGTGGAAGATGCAATTAAAAACCCCCAGTGGGGGTGTGGTTCAACTTGGTTCTTAAGTTCCTCACCATTGCTTAGCCCAGAACAGGCCTGAATAAATACAGACTGAATAAGGGAGACTAAACTCCAGTTTAGGGCAGGGGAGGGGAAAGATGATAGCTCTCAAGATACCAGTTCGGTTGCCCTGCACTTTATTAATAAAGTGTGTGTATAGATTTTAACATGAATTAGTTACCAACACAAAAAAGCAGAATTTAGATCTCTGGTTTTGGGAAAATATGAATCTATGGTCCCACTGGGCCTTTTTGCCTCCTATAGTATTCAGCAATGGGTTGGAGTCCTTTGTTGGGCTGGGTTGTGGTACTCCTTGGAGGTTGCCAAGAGCTCTAGGTCACCCACCAGCTGACTGCCTTCTTTCACATTTCCTGCGTGGATTATGGGATCAGAATTTATAATCTCTGCTTGAAAAAGAAATTCAAGCTCTGGCCGGTTTGGCTCAGCAGTTAGAGCATTTGTTCACGGACCAGAGAGTCCCGGTTCATCCCCAGTCCCAGCTGGGGTCATGCCAGTGGCAGCCAATTGATGTCTCTCTCACCCTCCCTCCCTCCTGCTCTTTCTGAAGATAAATGGAAAAGTATCCTTGGGTGAGGATTAAAAAGAAAGGAAATTCAAAGTTACACTTTTTTTCCCCTCCAACCCTTACACCAAAGGCCGGAGCCAAAAGTAACTGTTTAGCCATCAGGGAACAGTTTTGAGGGTCACTTTTTTTTTTGGTATGTGCCCCTAGTGGGAACTGAACCCGGGACTCTCTGGTCTGCAGGCCGATGCTTCAACCACTGAGCCAAACCAGCCAGGGAAGGGGGAGTGGGGGTCACATTTTTTAACTTGGGTATCTGGAGTTTCATTTAAAATAAGCTAATTTTATGTATAATCCCATAGTTTGGATATGTTTACCTTCACATGAAGTCTCTTAATATCGGGAAACTAGACACTGTCTACCTTACACAAAAGATCTAAATATCTTCAGTGTTACATATTTTCTCTGTGGGTTCTTATAATAGAGACAGGTCTAGCCTACATACACAAGCAGGCTTCTGCTGCTCTTGCTTACAAATGCATGTGACAAATCCTTAGGTACAAGTGACCTCCAAGGTGGCATACCCCTGAAGCACAGGCCCAGGCTAATCTGAGGTAGGAATGTATGAGTACCTGGTCTCCAGCTCATTGTAGTAAACTCCATCACCCTCTCGGAAGATGAAGAAGTAGTTTTCCTCATAACCCTTACTAGCCTTGTTCTTTACATTCCAGTTGTATTCCCGAGCAATCTTGTAATCATACCTAAGGATGAGCAGGACAAGGTTAGCCCCATTTCTTCCCTATGAGGGAGAAAGGGAGACGCTTCTCAATCCCCCAAACCTAACCCCAAGCTACGCACACATCATCCGGTGCATAGTCCATTTCCTCCTCCTGGTCCCGCTTTCGTTTCTTCAGGGTCTCTTCTACAGGCAGGAAGTAGGCCACAAACTGGTTCCCTTCCTCATCCATCATGCCCCTGGTTGGGAGAAGATGAGCAGTGATAAATGAGGACAATGGGCAATGAGGAATAGGCCAAGGTTGGTAGCAGGGCCACGTACCTGATCATGGCCTGAGACATCATCTCCAATGCAGCTGCACCACTTGTGTCCTTGGGAGCTGGGTCTGAGTCAAAGATTACCTGAGCACATGGATTAATCCACATCTGGGGGATGGAGGGCACAAGAGTTAAAAGTGAAATAGGCAGAGATGGCAGGCTATCCCTCTCTGCCTCCTATCTCAGATCTGACCTTAAAGTCTGGGAAGACAGGCATGACCTCCACCGGTGTCACTCGAGGTTTGCTGTAATGCTGGGAGATCTGGAAGGGGCAAAAACATGCAAAGGAGGATGAAGAGCTCTGGAGTCACCCCTTTTTCTGCCTCCTCCCAGGTCTTAGTCCCTCAATTACCAACTTCTGGGCATCTTCAAAAGTCTTCTCAATGGCTGTAATCTGGCTATCCCTGTCTTTGTAAATTTCTTCCTCAGTGAACTGCTGTTTCACAGAAACCCCAATCCTAAGGTTGAAGAAAAGAAAGGCCTTTAGGAGCCGGGCCACTGGACACACTGAAATTTCCACCTTCCATTCCTACCTACTACAACTTACTTGACCTCAGGCTTCTCATTGGAGATGCCATAACGGTTGAACTCAGTGGAGATGTACTCTGTCTTCCGCATCCACGGCACCACCTTCGCATGCTGCTGAGACCTAAGGTGGAGGATCAGGCACTTCAGGACTCCACCACCCACCTACCTTACATTGGAGCCAGTCCCCAGTCCCCACTCAGCATGCCCTCACCTCTTGGAACTAGTGGGGGCCTGAATCTCCTCTTCC